TACACCACATGCATGCAGTGCCCACAGAGGCCAGAAGGGGTGTCAGATCTTCAGAACTGGAGTTAAAGACAGTTGTTGGCCATCATGTGGGTGCTAGAAACCAAAACTTGGTCCTCTGAAAGAGTCACCTGTCCTCTTAACCACTAAGCCATCTCTCCAGCTCCCCTATTTTGGTTTCTATAAACACTGGTCACAGATTCAAGATCTTTACAACCTTTCACTTTATCAGGCTAGGGTTGTAACTCAGTGGTAGAGCATTTTAGAGATTAAGGATTTCCCCCCTTCCCTCCAGGCTCCCTGCCACCATCCTCCAAACCTCTCACCGCCTACATACCGTACTATATAGTACTGTCTGCAGTTCCTCCTCTTTTAGGGTCTGTGTTTAGGAGCTAAGTCTCTCCCTTTACAGGTGCTTTTGTCTGGGGCATTCCCTTTTCTTTCCCTCCAGTACCTTTATTCATCCTCAAAAACCCAGATTTAAAATATTTTGCTCTACCTCCCTGGAAAGACAAAGATGCCTGCCTTCCCCTTGGATGCCCAGAGCATCTTTCCAGGTGGCTTTCCTAAGTCCGCTCACTGTATTTTCATGTATTTTTTTTGCATTGACTCTCAGGACATTTATGAGGACAGAGAATACTGAGCAAATTAGTATGACACAAATGACGATGCCGAAAATGAGTGGTGTGCGGAGCTGGGAGGTGTTGCAGGCAGATTTCCTGTCTATATGGAGCTGCTTGCTGCAGAAACAGCCTCCCTCTGTGCCCCTGAGTGGCATCCATCCATCCATCCATCCATCCATCCATCCATCCATCCATCCATATCCATCCCAGGTACCCTTCATCCACTTCCCTGCCTCTGTGGATTTGGGCTGCTGCTTTTGGTGTTCCTTCTGCTCTCTTTGTGGTGATGGGGGCAGTGAACTAAGGTGTAGATCTTTAGGTACCATGGGGAGAGAGGCCTTGGCTGCACTCTCCCTGGGCGGGTTTCCTTTCTGAAGTGGTAGGAAGGCGGGTTTTGAGGTTTTTAAGTATTGCTTCCAAGTATCTAAGTGAGAGATTTGCTTGCCCACATCTGCTCTGTCTTGGCAAGCTAGCAACCCGAGGAAATATTTTCTGGTTGGTTTTGTATGTAGTTTTCATTTTTAAGGGGGAGAGGAATATACACCTTAGTGAAACTCTGATGAAATACAATAGCCGCTTCTTTTATTTTTCTAAGTTGCTGTTAACTTCAGGGTTGAAACCAATATAGTCCCAGATGCAGCCTCTAGGGAGTGGCCAATAGATTATGCTGTGAACTGTAACCAGAAAAGAAAAAAAAAATGTGTATTTTTTGTATATAAGCAGAAACAATTAGAGAATTCTTTCTCCAGTAGTCTCACTTCTGCAATTGGTAACAGCTGTGTAACGGCCAAAGGCTGCGCACACTTGGTTTGTGGGAGGTGTTGGAGACAGGTATAAACACATCACTGCTCTATAGTGTGCTAAGCATGTAAGTGTTGGATGCAAACAGAAAAGTCATTTATTGATTTTGTTCTATTTTTTGTTTGTTTTTGTTTGTTTGGGACAGGGTCTCACATAGCCCAGATTGACCCTGAACCCACTATGTAACCCAGGCTGGCCTTGAACTCCTGATTCTCCTGCCTGTATTTTCCAAGTACTGAAATTATTGTTATCTACCATCATGCCTGGCCCTCATTTATTTTTATTTCTATTTCTTTTTTTTAATGATTTATTTATTTGTTGAGACAGGGTTTCCCTGAGTAGGCTTATTTGGCCTAGAATTCTCTGTGTAGACTAGGCTGACCTCAGACTCATGGAGGTCCACCTGCTTCTGCCTCCTGAGTGCTAGAATTTGCCACCACACTTGGCTATTTTGATTTTTTTAAAAAGACGTCTTTTTTTTAAAAAAAAAGATTTTATTTAGCTGGGTGTGGTAGCACATGTCTTTAATCCCAGCACTTTGGAGGCACAGGCAGGTGGATCTCTGTGAGTTCGAGGCCAGCCTGGTCTACACAGTGAGTTCCAGGCCAGCTGGGGCAAAAAAAAGAAACAAAAAATATTTTTTTTAATTCATGTATATGAATGTTTTGCCTGGGTGTATGTACCATGTGCATACCTGGTGCTCAAACGTACCCAAAGAAGATTCTTTGGATCTGGAGTTACAGATGATTTTGAGCTGTAGTATGGGTGGTGGGCCCTGAGCCTGGGTCCTCTGCAAGAGCAGCGAGTGCTCTTAACCACTAAGCCATCTCCCCAGCCCTGGATGTTTTGACATGGAGTCTCATGAAGTCCTGGCTAATCCTAAAACTGTGTACCCGAGGATGATTTTGAATTCTGATGACCTGTCTCTACTTCCCAAATGCTGAAATTATAGGCATGTGTCACCATGCCCAGTTTATGAGGTACTAGGGATCAAACCCAGGGCCTTGTACATGTTAGGCAAGAGCTACCAACTGAGCTACTCCACAGTCCAGTTTTTTTTTTTTTTTTTTGAGACTAGAGTCTCATGTAGCCTAGGCAGGCCTTAAACTTGTTATATATCTGAAGAAGAGACTACAGTTGGGAGCTAACACACCTGCCTGGCCTTGGACTTGGGAATCTGTATCTTATTTCATTTTGTAGTGCTGTGGGTTGGAACCAGGGCCTAGCATGTACCTTGTACTGAGCTACACCCCAGCTGTAGCTGTGGGAATTTGTGGGGTTTTGTTTGTTTTAAACTTTTTATTTATTTTTATTTTATGTGTATGCATGTATTACCTGCACATATGTGAGTGCACTTACGTCATGCAGTGCTCATGGAAGCCAGAAGAGGGTGTTAGATCCTGGGTGGTTATGGAAGGTTGTTAGTGGCCATGTAGGTGCTGGGATTCAATCCCAGGTCCTCTGCAAGAACAGGCAGTGCTCTTAATCACTAAACCCTCTCTCCAGCCTCTGTTTTTTTGAGACAGTGTCTCTTTGTATTCCCAGTTGGCCTGGAACTCGCTTAGTAGATCAGACTGGCCTTCATCTACACAGATGTGCGGCCTCTGCCTCCCAGGTGCTGGGATTAAAGGTGTGTGCCACCATGCCTGGCAGAATTTATTTTTTTATGTGTATGAGTGTATAGCCTGTATGTATGTAAGTGCATCCGTGTCATGCAATGCCAGTGGAAGCCAGAAAGAGGGCATTGGAGTCCCCTGGAACTGGAGTTACCAATGGTTGTTAGCCACCATGTGGGTGCTGGGAATCGAACCCAGGTTCGCTGCAAGAGCAGCCAGTGCTCTTAACCACTGAGCCATCTCTCCAGCCCCAGAATTTGTGTTTTTAACAAGTTTCCCAGACTATTTGGGGATGAAGGAGATGAGACACAGCTTTGAGATTTAGTGAGATGACCTTTGTCATTATTTAGGAGATTGATGGGAAACCAAGCAAGAGCTAGGGAACCGAATGCTGGTGGGCAAGAGGAACTGGATTGAAGGGGATGCTTTGGGAGTGAGTACTATGCTTGGAGTGGGGGAAATAAACAGAGATCAAACAATCCTAAAATATCCAGGGTAAACGGTTTGTGCTAAAAACACAAGAGACTAGAGAAAAAGAGCAAATTCAAAAAAGAAGACAATTACTTGACTTACAGCGTGTCTCCTGCCTGTGGCAAGACAGGACTAATTCATCAAGCCTATACCAGGTCTGTGTGAACTGTGCCTCCCAAACACCCTTGCCTTTTGCCCCTTTGCTCTGTCAATTTCTGAAAACCTTCTGATTGTCTTAGATACGACTCATGTTAACTTAACTCACAAGGGACCAACAAATACACCCAAGTGGTGTTTGATTGGTACGATTCATGAGAGATGTGTAAACACTGTGAGGTATAAGGGTGTTTGTGCCTTTGCTCACAGTGTCATCTTAAAATGGCTGATTAACTTTTCTGTGCTTAAACACCAGTGTGGCTTTTTAGTGGTCATGCTATTCATGAAAGTTAGTTACACAGTGTTCCTATTCCTCAGGTTGTGTGTGTGTGTGTGTGTGTGTGTGTGTGTGTGTGTGCAGGTATACGCGTGTGCACATGTGTGTGTGAAGACCAGAGGACAACTTCAGGTGTCTTCCTTAGGCACTGTCCACCATTTTTGTTGTTGTTGTTTTTAAAAAAGATTTTATGTGTGTGAATGTTCTATGTGCACGTATGTAAGTGTACCATGTGTATGCAATGCCCAAGGAGGGCAGAAGAGGACATCAGATTCCCTGGAACTGGAGTTATAGACAGTTGTTAGCTGCCACTTGGGTGCTGAGGCCTGAACCCAGGTCCTCTGGAGGAGCAGTATGTGCTCTTAACCACTGCCATCTCTCCAGCCCCCCCTCACCTTATTTTTTGAGACAGGGTCTCTCACTGGATGGGAACTCTACAGACTGACTAGCCTAGCTGGCTAAGCGAGCCCCAGTGAGCCTCTTGTCTCTGCCTTCTCAGGGCTCAGGACATCACACCTGAGATTCACACTCAGGTCCTCATGCTTGTACAAGTACTTTACTGACTGAGCCACCTTCCAGCCCTTCTCAGATTTCCTCTTTGGTGTAGAGAATATATCTTTGAGGTTGCTTAGTACCTATGTATTTCCTTGACCTTGTCCTGTCACCTATCAGAGTGACTTCTTCAGGTATCTTAGCTCTTTTGTGTTTTGTTTTGTTTCTTTAGACCCTGTCAAACTAGGGATCCCTGGCTGGTCTTGAATGTGGAGCAGGCCTCGTGCCTCTGCCTCTGGGATTACAGGTCTGCGCCACCACATTCAGCTGTGTTAGCTCTTAATAGCTTTATTTTCAGAAAGGACACATTTATTGATCAAAGCCCTTCTCTTGGTACTCTACCTTAGGACACGACATTTTTTTCCAAAACTGAGTCTCATGTAGCCCAGGCTGCCCCCAAACTTGCTGCCTAACTGAACTCACTATGTGGTCTCCAGCTCCTAACCTCCTAAGTGCAGGTATTACTTGTATTCACCTCCATGCCCGGCTGACACTGACCTTTTTTCCACAACAGCCTCCTACTGCCCTAAGGATGACGTGACAGACCTCCTGTTCTACTTCTACTAATCCCCCATCTTCCTGCGTGCCTGGAGTGGAGGGCTCTGTCCAGGAGAGGTATGGCAACCTGGTAAAGCACTTGGAACCTGGGTATGGATGAGTGCCTCAGCCTAACTGCCTAGCTGCCTTTCAGCAGTATGTGCTCCGCTCCTAACTTGATGGCTGTCCTCACTCTCATGTCCTCTGTGGGAAAACAGGCTAGATGTGTAAGACAGTAGGCCAGTGGGAGTACTGACAGCGTTTTGTTTTGTTTTTTTTTTAAAAAAACAAAAACAAAAAAACCCGGCTCTGTTATGTTGTGTTAACTTCTTATCGTTATGCTAGAAGCTTGTAGGAGTTCAAAAAAAATTTTAAGTCTGTCAAGGAAGATAACCAGTTTGAAAAATATGTCATGACTTAAATAGCCTTTGTATCTGTAGAGATGATTTAAAGTATTTCTAGTCATATAACAAACAAAATAATGTAGGCAAGATGGTGAAGACATTGGTGTTCCAACAAATTGCTTTTTTATCATTGCTTTGAAAGCAAGTTCACATTTTCTTTGTGTGTGTGTGTGTGCTGGGAATTGGACTCAGGACCTCCAGCATGCTGAGTAGGTACTCTATCATTGAGCTACACCCCCAGTCTTCCTAAGTATTTTTTTCTCTTTCATTCATTCATTCTTTTTTTTTTTTTTGGTCTTTTTGAGACAGGGTCTCCCTGTAGCCCCAGCTGGCCTTAGAACTCACTGTGTAGACCAGGCTGGCCTTGAACTCACAGAGATCCACCTGCTCTGCCTCTGCCTCCTGAGTGCTAAGACTAACACGTCCAGCTGATTCATTCTTGAGACAAGGTCTCACTATATTGCTCTGGCTAGCCTCAAACTTATAAGCCTTCCCTCTCAGCTTTCTGAGTGCTGGCTCTATGTTACTTTTATTTCTTTAAGATTTTTTTTATTTTTGTGTATTTGTGTGTATGTGCACATGTGTGGGGGTGCCTTCAGGGGCCAGAAGAGGGTATTGGGTCCCCTGTGGCTGGAACCAATAGATGCTAGGAACCAATCTCAGGTCCTCTATAAGAGCAGCAAGCCCTCTTAACCGCTGAGCCATCTCTCCAACCTCATATTACTTTTAATAATACCAGTCACAACATTAATGATAATGGCTCAGTGGTTAAGAACACTGGCTCCTCTTGTAGAGGACTGGGATTCCATTCCCAGCACCCATGTGATGGCTAACAACCGTCTGTAACTCCAGTTCCATAGGAATCTGATGCCCTCTTCTTACCTATATGGGCATTGAGTGGCATGGATGCACCTATACACATGCAGGCAATACATGCATACACATAAAAAATAATAAAATTAATTTTATTATTAAAAAAATAATGGTAGCTATTATTAAATAGTTACTATATACCACTTGCACTTACTATATGCTCTGAAGCAAGGGTTTTGTATCCCTAATATCCTTTATCCTGTCAACCTCAGATACATGTACTGTTACCTCCTTTTTTACAGATGGGGAAATGAGATGAGAGACATTGAGAAAGTAGGCCAAGGGGCCAGAGAGATGGCTCAGCAGGTAAAGGGCCTGCTGCCAAGCCTGATGATCTGAGTTCAATCACTGCAACCCACATGGTGGAAAGAGAGAACTGACTTCTGAAAGTTGTCCTCTGACTTCCACATGCATGCTGTGGTATACACACACACACACACACACACACACACACACACACACAAACATGAAATGGGAAAAAAAGGCCAAGATCACACGTATACAAGCTAGCAATGATAAAACTGGAAAGAGGGATCTAGACTTTTGAGGCATAATGCCTGGGATCAGTTGGACAATGGCTTGTGTGGTTTAGGGAGACCCTCCCCTCTTAGTAGACTGTCTGAAGGCAAGAGATAAAGGGACTGGAAAGATAGCCCAGTACCCATGTCCAGTGGCTCACAACTGCCTATAACTTCAGCTTCAGGGGATCTAACACTCTTCTGGCCTCCTCAGGCACCAGTATATATAAGCACATACCCAGACACATATACATAATTAAAAGTTTACAAAAGAAGATACACTCACTTATTGTAGGCTTTTTTTTGTTTCTTTTTATTTTTGTTTTTTGAGAAAGGGTTTTACTATGTAGCCCTGAGTGGCCTGGAACTCACTATTTAGACCAGGCTGGCCTCTAATTCATAGAGATCTACCTGCTTCTGTCGCCGGAGTGCTGGGGCTAAACTAAAGGTGTGCACCCCCATGCCCAGCCAATTTATTGTATTTTTTTAAAGAAAAACTTTTAAAAATTTATTTTATGTATGAGTATTTTGCCTATGTGTACATAATTACATCAATGTCCATAAGAGGGCGTCACATGCCCTGGTACTGGTGTTATGGATGGTTGTTAGCTGCCATGTGGATGCTAGGAACTGAACCCAGGTCCTCTGCAAGCATAGCCAGTGTTCTTAGCTGAGCCATCTCTCCAGCCCTTATTTATTATATTCTATAGAGCTTGTATGCTGCACTGTATTTTCTTTATCCCCAAACATAACTGTATACAGAGTTTGCTACCAAACCCTTAGCGAACAGAAAGATAAACTGGTGTCCATGAGGGCTTCCCTATGCTGAAAACACAAGAGACTGCCATAAGCCCACAGGAGATGCCACAGGCTGTTCACACAGGAGCATTCCACATGGCTCACACACATATCTAAAGGCAGCCTATGTTAGCTGAATGATTCAGGTGCCCTGCTAAATAAACATTATGTGTGCACTAGTTTTTGACTCCTTAAAATAACACTCAGAGCTGGGTCCTATAATTAACCTCATTTGTAGATGAAGTTGAGGCTCTGAAGGGAGAGAGAACTTGCCCAAAGCCACACACCTTGTGAGGGACAGAGGTGGAATCTGAACCTACTCTGATTACAGAGCCAGCATATTCACAAGCCCTAGAGTATTTAAAACCAGAGGTACTAATAGATAGAAACCTTTGCTGGGTGTGGGGGTGTTATGCCTTTAATCCCAGAGGCAGGCACATCTCTGTGAGATCCAGGCCAGCCTGGTCTATGTAGTGAGTTCCAGGACAGCTGGGGCTACAGGGAGGCCCTGTCTCCATGTTCTTCAAAAAAAAAAAAAAAAAAAAAAAAAAAAAAAAAAAAAAGTTTTTAAAAAAATTTCATTTATTTTGTGTGTATGTGAAAGTCCGAGGACAACTTGTCAGCTCGTCAGGTTTGGTGACTTTACCCTTGAAGCCATCTTGCTGACTGGAGAATTTAAATTTTTTATTTCACAGTCTGTAGAACAGTCGGTAATTCATTCCACATTTTGGATTTTTTTCTTCAGTTGGCACATTTGATCTTACACACACAGCACTCTAATATTTGCATCTTCTCTTCTGATAATGGTCCACCAGGCAAGGAGGGTACTTAGAGATTTGGAGGGAGGGAAAAAAACAACTTTCACTTTTTTCAATGCTGGGGATTAAACCCAGACGCCCTCAGCATACTAGACAAGTGTTCTACCACTGAGCTATATCCCCAGCTTCATTTTTCTCTTAGTTTTTCTTTTTTCTTTTTTTTTTTTTTTTTCCCCCTGCCTGCAGCCTCAGCTGACCTGAAACTTGCTATGTAGACCAGGCTGGCCTAAATCTCACAGAGATCCTCCTGCCTTCTCTTCCTGGATGCTGGGATTAAAGGCATGTCCCACCATGTCCAGCAAGATCTTAGTTTTTAAACTTTATTTATTTATTTATTTATTTATTTATTTATTTTTGGTCTTTTTGAGACAGGGTCTCCCTGTAGCCCCAGCTGTCCTGGAATTTACTATGTAGACCAGGCTGGCCTTGAACTCACAGAGATCTGCCTGCCTCTGCCTCCCGAGTGCTGGGACTAAAGGCATGCGCCTCCAGGCCCGGCTAAACTTTATTTTTATTTATGAATGTTTTGCCTTCATGAATGTAAGCACACCTGTGCATGCAATTCCCTGAAGGCAAGAAGAGGATGTCGGATCCCCTAGAACTAGAGTTACAGATGGTTGTTAGCTACCATGTGAGTGCTGGGAACCAAATACAGGTCTTCTGCAAGAAGCCCTCTTAACCACTCAGCCATCTCTTAATTATTTATATGAACTTTGGGACTATTTATTTGGAGGTCCAAACACAAGCTAGAACATTTCCTAAATGATTAATCCCCCCACTTTTGTCTGGGTCCAGCTACCTTTATTTCTAGGCCACTAACATGGATGGAAGATGATATAATCAAGGTTATTTGCATATATTAAAACCACTTTAAGAACTGCCCTCCTAAAAAGTTTTCTAATTTTATTCAGATTCTAAAATCCTGCCTCCTTATAACACGTTCTCCATGCAAAAGCATATTCCTTATTCAAACTGTTTTCTAATCCAGGTGCTTAGGGAAAATTTTATCAGTTGCTTTTGTAGTGCGGTGTTAGGAAATGGTAAAAATTTCAGTGTATTTAGAGACTGAATCTCCCTACTGCTGCCCCAGTATTTTGCAAATCCCTCCCCCAGATTTAAAATTAGATTTGACAACTGGCGGTCTCATTGTGGGTCTTGACTAATTAAAGGGTTGTCCCCTTAGCCTGTGCCTCATCACTGGACTGTAACATTTACATTGACACGGGGAGACTACGGGTTCCCAAGATACTTTTCAGATCTGACAGAGGGTAAGTTCTGGAATCAACCAGACAGGGCTTTTCCCATCAGCCCCTATTAAACTACTGACTTCAGGCAAATTCTTGAAACCATAGAGAGACTTATCTGTAAAATCAGGGTAATTAAACCTTATTCTTTCTGTTCCAGGGAAAGTTCTTGTGATAATGTGTCTAAGTAACATAATGCCTTTTGGTGCTTAGTGGGCTCTCAAGATAAGCTAGTGCTCTTGAATTTGGGCATCCTCTAAAAACACTGCACTGCCCTAGGTCATCTTTAAAAATCATTTTTTAAAAAATGATACTTAATCATACATATTTATGAGGTGCAATATGTTTCAATATATAGACATACTGTGTAACAATTAAATCAGGATAAAGGTAGGTCAGATTTGAAGAGATTCCTTGGTTTCC